ATCTGTGCTCTCACTTTCAGTCTGTGCCTCTGGGTGCACTCCAGGGCTGTGCTGGGCACTAAGAAAGATGGTGCCCACCCCATGGGGAGAGGGCTGGCAGAAATATGTTTAAGGTGGAGGTGGAAAGTCACCATAACCTAGGGGCACCCAAATTGGGGTGAGGAGCAGCTCTTCTCTTTGACTCCAGGATGTTCCCTAAAGGGAAAGCACCCGGGGTCACCACATCTCTCTTCTCTCCCACCACATGAACCCAACAGCATCCACCCCTTGAGGTGCTGAGAGCATTTTGCCAGCAGAAAGCCCCACCACAGACACAAGCTCTTTGCTGCTGGGTCTGGCCAGCCACTGACTCTGGTGGAGGTTTCCTCCACAGCCCTGCAGTGGAGAATTTCCTGCAACTTCATGTGGAGGAAACATGGTGGTGTCTGCACCACTGCAGAGCACAAAAGAACCAGAAGAGAGATGTTGGCATGGATCAAAACTGATCCAGCAGGATCCACAGAGCTCCAGCGAAGTCCTTGGAGGATGACAGCCAAGGTCACAGCTTCTCTGTCTCTGTACACCTTTTAAACTCCCAGTGTGAACACTCAGACTGAGGAGCACTGGAGCTGCAACAGCAATGGTCCTAGAAAATACCTGGATTAGCTGGATCTCACCAGGTGACTGGGACTGGTGCAGAGGGGACACCAGCACTGCCTCTGCTCCAGCAAGCAGTCCTTCCTGTCAAACCTGCCACCCACAGCCACACCAGTTGTGACAGCTACAGAAAAGACATTCAACAAACCCCTTCAAAAACTGCTTGAACCCCCAAAACCCCTTCACCCTGGCAAGCTCCAGCACTGCCACAATCCCCAGTCAGGCTGCAGGGACCAGTAATGGTGCAAATTTTTTGACCTACACTATTAAACCACAGGGGGAAACAGAAATACAAGAAGGAAAAGAGGGGCCTGATACTTTTCCTGATACTGAGATTGTTTCTCCCCACTGCTGGGAGCAGGAGTTGTGCTTGAGCTGGGCTGGGAGGACAGATTGCAGAGAACTGAGAGTTTCCTTGAGGACATTTCCTCTGGACAAATGTTCCCTGGACAGAAAAAGTCAAAACCCCTGGAGCCCTTTACATTTCAGGTCCTTGCTTCAAAAGCAAGAAGAAAACAATTCCCACTGACATGGAAATAAAGAGTTTTCTAATTCATTTCACATGGGCAAAGTAATATATTTACACCTCATCTGCTGCTTGGAAATGGTCAGTTTTAGCTGAAATCAAACATGCACATAAAGAAATATCACAAATCAACCCACAGCAGACACCCAGCATGGAAACTGAAACCCCAGCATTTAAGAGTCTGGCAAGGTCATCAGCAACCTAGAACACGGCCTTGGACGGGGCTGTAGCTGTAAATTTTAAAAAGTGCATAACTCACCGCACTAAGGCAGATGAAAAGACAAACCTATTAAAAAAACACACATGCTGAAGAGGGCAAAATGTCTTTACCTGTGTTTGGCTTCATCTTTGCTGCTCAGCTTATAGAGGAAAACTTTCAGCCGAGTTATACAAGTCAATATCCACCTTGTTAATGACCTTGTTATCTGTCTGTACAGCATTGTCTTTGTGGACACATATGCAAAGAGAACCATGTTTACAATTATTGTTTTTTTAACACTACAGGAGAACTGGGATGTGTCTGCAGTTCCTCCAAGGTCAGCACTTGCTGTATTGACTGAGAATCATCTACATGAAGTGAGAAAAGCAGGCAATGGAGCACTCAGGATTGGAGATGCTGGACTTGGTTCAGCCCAGGCAAGTGAAAATCCTATTTATGGCACAGACAACATCACTCTGCAGTGCCTGGGACACCCCTGGCCTCCTGTTTGGTGCTGAAAATGGGTATTTCATCATCCAGATGATACATGAGATGTTCCTGGTGGTACACGCCCTGTGGGAGCCTCTCAGTGCACAGAGTATGGTCACAGTTTAAACGTGGTGGTGCTCTGTCTCTCTGTTGGGTCTTGGTCGATGTCCCCGTGGTGGTTGCAGCTCCTTCCCACCCCTAACTCCCTTTCTCTTTCATGATAACCCTCCCTGCTCACAGGGGAAGAAGGAAAGACGATGCCCCTGCCCTCCCTGAACATCCACCATGCTCGAGCTCATGATACCACAAGAGGATGGGAACACCTTTTCACACAGGCAGCACTAACCCCACACCAAACCATCCTCTGCAGGATAGGGACATGGCCCCCCTGAGCTCCACTTCCCCAGAGAAGCAGCTACAGCTCTGCCCAGCCCAGACTGCCTGCAAAAACCTCCACTGCTGAGAACCAAGGTTTGTGCTGAGGTGGCAGCAAGTTCCTCAACAGCGGTGGATTTCAGCCTGCAGGAACCAGGGTTTGTCCCTGCTTGTGGTGCCAAGGACAGCAAGAGAAGAGGGAGAGGGAGAAGGAGAAGAAGATGAAGAGGAGGAAGAATGAAATCCTGCAAGAGACAGGCTGGTGGAGAGAAGGGGGAGAAACAAGCTGGGGTGAAGGAATGGAGGGAGCAGGACAGCCCATGAGAAATGAGCAANTTTGTGCTGAGGTGGCAGCAAGTTCCTCAACAGCGGTGGATTTCAGCCTGCAGGAACCAGGGTTTGTCCCTGCTTGTGGTGCCAAGGACAGCAAGGGGAGAGGGAGAGGGAGAGGGAGAGGGAGAGGGAGAGGGAGAGAATAAAAATCCTGCAAGAGACAGGCTGGTGGAGAGAAGGGGGAGAAACAAGCTGGGGTGAAGGAATGGAGGGAGCAGGACAGCCCATGAGAAATGAGCAAGAAGGGGAAAGTGATGGAGCTGATGGAACACAAGGGATTCATGCTGAGAGAATGGGAACGACTAAGAAAGAGAAGTAGGGGCAGGGAAAGCTAAAAACATTGCCTGTATCTGCTGGGGCAAGGATGAGGATGGTCTTAGATGGGTTGTAGGGAGGAAGGGGATGAGAAGGCGTGCTGTCAAGAGAAGCTTACAGCTGAAACAAGCAGACCCAGCTAAGGAGGGGGTGGTAAGACAAGACACTTGCTGCCCACCCCAGGACCTTGCACTGTGGATGGCACAAAGTGACCTGTCCTGGCGTGTGCTGCTCACTGCCAGCTCCCTTAGTGCCTGCTCTGGCAGCATCCCCCACCTTGCAGCTGCCCAGATCCTTCTCCCTGTCACCTCTTATCCCAGCCCTGCCCATGGACAGCTCCCTGGGGTGAGGGGGAGCAGACACACACAGCACCCTCACACAGGGACAGGCTCCCAGGGGATGCTCCTCCACACCTGGGCGACCAGGTGGAAAGTGGAAGAGGAAGAGGAGGAGAGATGCAGAGAGCACAGCCCCAGGGAATATTGATGGGGTGTCTCTGGTTTGGTTGCTTTGTTGGGGTTTTGTTTGTTTGCTGGTTTTCCCAGCCTCAGCAGAAAGCACAATGCGGGCTGAGCTCCAGCTGCAGCTGATGGGGCCAGCCCTGGCTGGAGCCAGGGGAGCAGGGGAGGGAGGGAAGGAGGGAGGAAGGGAGGCTGCTGGTGGAACAGACTGCAGCTGCCCAGGACAAGGAGGCACCCCAAGCGAGCCCAGCAGTGTTGGCAGGACTGGGGGGACAAGGTGAGGAGGAGGAAGAGAAAGAGGAGGAGGAAGAAGGGGGGGGAGTTTGCAGCCAGGCCCAGAGAGGCAAGGTGGCATTGCCACCTGGGCACAGGGCGATGCAGGGGACCTGGTGGTGAGCAGGGTCCATGGAGATCCTTCAGATCCTGCTGAGCTCTTCACTGTTACCCCTTCTCACTGGCTAACCTACCTCTTGTATCCCTAAAGGAATGTCTCCGTGCAGATTGCTGCTGGAAAATACATCTTTCTTGCCTGAAGGAAACCAACTTTCCCACTGCTCTCCCTGTACCTGTAATGCCTCATCCCAGCCCTGCCCTGGACATGCTGGTAACAGCAGGTGAACCTCTACACAAGAACTGCCCAGTGGGAAGAGCAGGTGTGGGTGGGGAAAGAATGCAGGGAGAAAACATAGTGAGAGAAAGGGAGTTTGAGGAACAGACCTAGAAGGAGAGGTGAACTGAGGTGTGGAAGTCAGGCATGGCTTTATGCAAGGACCAAGAGGGTTGATAGAAAGGAAAACAGGAACCAGATCAAGAGGTAGGCGAGGAGTGACAATTCCCAGAGACAGTCCCCAGAAAACTTGGGTACTGGGAGAAGCATGAGGGCTCTTCTCCCCATGGATGTGGATGAAGCACCATTCCTAGTGTTCACATCTCCATGTGCCAGGACTGTTTCCTGACCTGCAGCCCTCTGTGTCCCACCCACAGTTGCTGCATGCTGGCTAACTCTAGGCATCCCAATCACGTACAGGCTCAGTGCTAATAAGTGACTTTAAGCAGGTCTGTCATTTCTGGACTCGAGATTGGGGTCAGAGGGCTGCAGAGGGGGGTGGGAGTGGCAGTGAACCGAGAAAGTGGGAACTCAATCTCCATAGGATTAACACTGAAGCTCTTGCAGGAGCCCAGCTTAGTTAGTCCCTCCTGGAGTAACAGGGACCTTCTGTGGCTATGGGACTGTCCCAAGGGGATGGTTCTTCCCTCCCTCTGCACCTTTACAAAGCCACACTGGATCCCAGGAAGCCTTTGGCCACCCTTCAAACAGGGATGCCTGAGATCTTGGAGCAGGAGGGAAGGACTGAGCTGGTGCTTGGCTCCTGCGACCTCTCCACAGGACACATCCTGCACACCAGTATGGACACTGGGAATGGCTGTGGCCTTGGCTGCTTATGGCATTGCCTTGAACCTATTGAGGGCAGGGAGATGCAGGTGTGAGAGGGCTGTGGGTGGTGGGGCAGCAGGACCTGCCAGCTCCATCACATCACCATCCCACAGCACTGCCCTGCAAACACACACAAAAACACCCCCTGGCTCCAGGGAACCTGCAGCGACTGCAGAGGGCATCCGAGACGGGACTGAGAGGGTGGGGCTGGCCTGTCCCAGGCTCACTCACCTCCCTGGTGTCGTTGTCCTGGATCAGAGCGTACAGAGGCACCACCCTGTTGATCTCCAGCAGAACCGGGGTGGGGCTGAGCTGCTCCTTGCCGGGGCGCCGGCACAGGTGACAGGTGGACGGGCAGCGCCCTTTCTCCTCGCAGTGAATCTCCACACCCGAGATGAGGTGGTCATCTGACAGCATCTGAGCTGTCAGCAGGCCTGACAGGTACGTGATGAAGGGCATGGATTTCAGCTCCTTCTTGTTGCCAAGCTCAGTTGTTTCTGGGTTAGGGAGAGGGAAGAAACCAAACAGTATTAAATAAATCTCAGCACGGACCTCTTCCCAAAGCCAAACTGTGCTGCAGCCAGGATAAATGCAGCTGCTGAAGGTGTAGGCCAGGTGGGAGCAGGACAAAAGAAAGGTAAAGGAGAGGAGAAAAACAGGACTTCCAGGTCACTGCTTGGAAGTGTGAGCTTTTCCAGACAAGCTGAACTGACAGAACTGATTGTTGTTCTCTTTTCTAACTCATGTTCTTCTTTTTTCTAATTTCCATATCTACTCTCTGTGCTCCAAAATGAGACAAAATCACCTTAGCATATCTCCCCTGCCAAAGAGAAACATCCCCAAAGGGACCAGGCCAGGAGCTGAATGCCCTTTATCCCCACCCTAACACCAGCCCCCTCTAGTCCCTGTGGTCCTCAGGTCACTCTTGTGGGTGACACATTATCCAGGGCACTGAAATGGATCCAAAGAGGCTGTAAAAGGATTACATGGAGGGATGGAGAGCCTTGGAAAAGCAGGTATGAGAACAAACTCACTGCATGGAGAATGATGGAGGCATTACTAAAACCAAACTGCCAACACTGCTTTCAGGAAACATTCAGGCCTTTGAAATCCACTAGGAAACCACCTGGTGATCTTGAGCACAAGGCAATAAACCCCGAGCACCTTTACTTTGTTCTGTGTTCGTCCAAACACTTGCAAAGGCCAAGGGAAATATCACACTTGAGAAAAGGAGACACAACTCCAATGTCTGTCCTGTACACTTCCATTGAAAATCTTTGTCTATAGCTGGGTTGACCCAAGAAGGCCCAACTTTTATAACCTGGTGACAGACCTAGAGAGGAAAAGGTTTTCTCCATCTTGTGGCTGTTGCCTCTAGCAACAAATTCCCAGTCCCGAGAAGGAGCAGAAGAGGAGCAAGGGTTGTCTCAACACACTGGGCTTGCAGTGATGTGGCAAGGCACAAGCCATGTGGAAATACAAGTAAACAGTATTCATTCATGACTCCCGGAGCCCTCGAGGGTAGGGACAGCCCTTCCCTGCTGCCTGGCTGTCAGGGAATGCTTCTGTGCACAGGATCAAAACTGTCACAGGGAGAATGAGCAAATTCCAACCAACCCATGTTTTAGTGGAATAGAGGGCAGCAGTTGCTAAAATAAATTAAAACAAAGCTGTAGGGAGATGTTTCAACATCTTGGGACACACTAGTGTACACAGACATGGGAAACAGGAGTTGGAGCTGCTTCTTGGAGAGATTATTTTCTTGAAGATCAGCTCCAGGCAACTTCAAGTCTCATAAAAGAAAGCCATGAACCCTTGAAAAACAGGGTGGCAGAGAAAGAAGGAATTAATAGGGGGATACCATGAGCCTCTTCTCACTTGTGAATAAGAGTAACATCTTCTAACATCACCACTAAAGTACATGTAGAAGAGAAAGGAGATAATTACACTTCTGGGCTGCAAAGCTTCTTCACCAGAACTGAACAGCGTTAGAGATTCTTCATGGAAAAGGAAGTTTTGGAGCCATACTTTAAGGGAGGACACGAACACAGGGCTGGAAAGACTGTAATCAGTTATCTTATGACTGGCAACAGGATATCAAACCTTCCTTCTGAATTATTTGCTTTATAGCTAAGAATTATAGATCACTATAATCCAACCAGTGGGAGCAAAGCCATTTCAGGAGCAGCAGTGCTCAGGTGGAGCTGCTCTGGGGAAGGCCCAGAGCTAAGGTAGAAAACTGTAAGCAGATCAGCTCCCCTTCCCCAGCAGCCATGGGCTCAGTGACAGATTAACCACGAAGCCAGGTGATTCATGGCAGACCTGTGAGTAGAGCAGACTTCATGGCTGAGGTGGAATTGGCTGTCTGCAGTTAATCCTCTTTAGAACAGATCCCAGCTGCACTGGGGAAAAGGATTCCTTTGCAGACTGACAAAGATCCGTGGTGTTGCCTTGTAAGAGGGCTCTGGGTACAAGTCCAAAGGAGGAAAATTAAATGGGACATGGTTTAGCAAAGAGAAACTGGCTTCATTGTCAAATTGCCAGCTCTCATCCAGACAAACACTTGGATGTCATCAGCACTGGATAGCAATTCCTGGTAGCTTTTGTGGGATGGGTTTGGAGTGCTTACACACAGCCCTAACGAAATAATCCCTCTGTTTCTGCTATTGGAACCTATCTGGGAGCACCAGCAGCTCACCCTGCTTGTGAGCCAGCTCCTCCAGAGCCAGAAATTGGAGCTGAGGAGGAGATGTTCTTCATCTGCTTGCTCAGGTGCCTCATTCCTCGAAAGCTGGAGGTTTCCTTGCTGGACACAGTACTTCCCTCTCATCCCACCCACTCCACCACTCAGAGCATCTCACAGAGGAGGTTTTCAGATGTGAGAGGTATTTTCCCTCCAAAACCATATTCCTGCACCTGCCACTGCAACTATAGCCTTGGAAGTTGAGATTGGGGTCCCTTGATTTCCCCCTGCCCTACATCTGACATGAGTTTTGGTTATCTCTTCAGCTCCCTGCATGAAAGGAGAGGGCTCAGCAGTGAACTGGAAAAGCCTCACAAGTTCTTGTAGGCTCAGTCTGGCTTTTATTACCTATACAGAACAGGAAAACCTCCCAGAACACTCCTGCAAAGCCTCTGCTTCACTCCTGGGGAAGAACTTTGCAAGTGACTGCTGCCAGGATGCTCACGAGGTCCTTTCTGGGAAGAGGAGGAGACTCAGCAGCGAGGATATGGGGATCCTTTATCAGCCCCTGAATCTGAGCATGCTGTCACTAACACTGCTGGCAACTCAGCTGAACCCTGGCAACATCTGTTTGGGAGCAGAGAGCCTCGGATGCAGTTGGACACATCAGGGCAACTTGTAGGAGTTATTAGGTTTTTCTGTCTGAAATATGGATTTAAATAAAAAAACAACAAAACACCACCACAAAACAAATAAAATAACATGCTCATGCCAGGTATCACGCCTTGTGTAAGAAAGGGAAAATGAACAACACAGGGAATGCAGAGGTACCATTTGCCTGCTGGGGTGCCTGGCTCCGTTTCTGGGCTCCACCAGCATTTTACAATCCCACAGCACGAGGTGTGTGCCTACACAAAGGGGTCTCTGCTCAGGATGCAGCAGTTGCTGATGTGGGAAAATGCTTCCAGCATTACCAGCAGCACCTCCTGGTGCCTGGACATGAGGGAGCAAGGTAACACCACTACTACAACAAAAACAACAGCACAATGCCTAGTTTGTACTGGAGTGCTGTCCTGACTTGAGAGCTCCCAGGAGAAGATGGGTTTCCTAGTGGCCCAGCATTTCATACAACACCTCTTCCAAAAGATCCCCAAGTCATCCCAAAACTGGGAATCGTTCCACTTGCCACAAGAATGCAGCCATATCAGGGGTAGGATGTGATACCTCCTGAAGAGCAGAAATGCTTGGAACCAGGACAGGAGAAGGCTCCCCAGCTGGAGTTGTAGAGGAAGCAGTGGGAACAGACCCAGGCAGGGATTCCTACAGGCTCAGCAGGTTAACCCCACCAACACCAAGAGGCTGCTCAGTTGAGCTTAATTTAAGACCTGAGATTTGCATTTTATGCAAGGAAGAGGCAATTCTGGTCCACCTTCCCCATACACCACCCTTCACTGGACAGACCTAGTGCCACCACAGGCAGGACAGTGGGAACTTGTGGCCAGGACACATCCACTGATACAGATTGCCTGTTTATCACCTGGTGGAATAATTTGCCTTTTTTTGCTGGCAAATCCATCCAAAGGGAGTTAGAAAGGAAATCAATAGATGTATTTGCCTGGGAATTTCTTCTGCACTGAGATATTGTCACTGCAGTGGCCACCAGGTCTTTGAAGAGCTTGGACAGATTTAATGCTGCCCACTGTTAGTGATGGGCAAACACTGCTGGGGCTGTGAGGAAGGCATGGGACAGGTTCAGGGGAGTCAGTCTGGAACATCCAGGCATGCATACTGGAAGGATAGGATAGGACAGAAGGGAATGGCTGGCAGAGAGCAGGGTTATATGGGACATAACAGGAAGAAATTCTTCCCTGTGAGGGCAGGGAGGCCCTGGCACAGGGTGCCCGGAGAAGCTGTGGCTGCTCCTGGATCCCTGGCAGTGTCCAAGGCCAGGTTGGATGGGGCTTGGAGCAACCTAGGACAGTGGAAGGTATCCCTGCCTATGGCAGGAGTGGAATGGGATGGGTTTAAGGTCCCTTTCAACTCAAACCATTCTATGATTCCAGCCCCGGCTGAAGGGGAAACACCACCCCAGCCAAAGCACCAAACAAGCACCAACACCCCAGTCCTGGAGTTCAGTGTGGGTTGGACATGGGATTACTCCTGAGGAAACTCTAGGTGACTTTTGGGATACATGGCATGAACTACACGTGGGAATATCATTCCCTGGGCAAAGGCATGTGCTCACCGTGCTCATCATGCCTGGGAGGCTGCAGCGAGGACCTGAGTGTGGAGCTCAGGATGGGCACCGAGGGGATGGCACGGAGCTCAGGATGGGCACTGCGGGAGTGGCACAGGGCTCAGGATGGGCACTGAAGGGTGGAGTGAAGCTCAGGATGGGCAATGTGGGGTGACACGGAGCTTAGGATGGGCACTGAGGGAGTGGCACGGAGGTTAGGATGGGCAATGTGGGGTGACACGGGGCTCAGGATGGGCACTGCGGGGTGGAGTGGAGCTCAGGATGGGCACTGGGGGATGGCACAGGGCTCAGGATGGGCACTGCAGGAGTGGCACGGGGCTCAGGATGGGCACTGCGGGGTGGAGCGGAGCCGCCCGCCGGACCCTCCCCGCGGCGGGTCCCGGCCCAGCGGGGCAGTTGTCGCTCTGTGCCCCTGTCGGTCCGTGGGGCCCTGCTGCCCTCTCGTGGCACCGCGGCGGGACGGCGCCGGGTTCATCCCCGCGTGCGGACATCGTCCCGGTATGGGGACATCATCCCGGCACGGGGACATCATCCCAGTATGGGAACATCATCCCGGCACGGGGACATCATCCCAGTATAGGGACATCATCTCGGCACGGAAACATCATCATCCCGGCATGGGAACATCATCCCAGTATAGGGACATCATCCCAGCACGGGGACATCATCCCGGCATGGGGACATCATCCCGGCACGGGGACATCGTCCCGGCATGGGGACATCATCCCAGCACGGGGACATCATCCCGGCATGGGGACATCATCCCAGCATGGGAACATCATCCTGGCCTGCAGCACATCATCCTGGCATGGGGACAACACCCCGACGTGTGTCACATCCGGCCGCCCTTGTCCCGCGGCCCCTCCGCGCCATCTCATCCTCCCGTCTTCATCCCTCGGGGAGGGGAGTGCAGCACAGCGAATGTGCAACATCCCCTGGGTGTCGGTGCTTGATAAACGCCCGAGCGTGAGGCTCCGTCACCCCTTTTAATCTCCTGTTCACAGAATGAGAAGGGGCTGGAATGGACCTTAAAGATCATCCCGTTCCAACCCCGTGCCATGGGCAGGGATGTCTCCCATTAGACCAGGTTGCTCCAAGCTCCATCCAACCCTGCTTTGAGCATGTCCAGGGATGGAGCAGCCACAACTTCCCTGGGCAACCTGTGCCAGTGCCCCACCACTCTCACAATAAAACACTTCTCAATAGCTAATCTAAATTTCCCTGTTTCAGTTTGTACCCATAACTCCTTGTCCTGTCACCACAGTTCCTGGCGAAGAGTATCTTTATGTCCACACTGCCTCTGCCTCTCTTCACGCCCTCCTCTCCCTGACACTGTCCCCACTGCTCCCAGATGATTAACCAAACTCAATTAAACACAATCCTGACATCCAACACCAAGGTGTGAACAGGGAGCTGCACCCATGAGCTTGTGACTGGTGTCACCTGTGACCCCCAGCCTGTCACAGCCCCGCTGCCCAGGGATGATCCCAAAGGTACCAGCACAGAGAAGCTGGGGGCAGATCATCTCTGCTGCCTGCAGGTTGGACAGGCGGGATCTCACCTCAGCTTCAGATGAGACATTTGTACACTTGCGAGCCTGAGGTATTAAGAACAAAAAAAGAGCTCTTAGAGACCTCTGATAACCCTCTATAAAATGGGGGTTTTGAAATTATCCCCTGTAACATAGTTCTGGCAAAGGAATTGGCTCTGCAGACCCTGCACAGACTCCAGTGTCCCCCCAGTGCCTGCACTGGGTCCCAGGAAGAGCACCCAGAGCTCTGCCCTGCTCATCCAACCCCTGGCATTGTCTCAGGGCTTGTTCCTCTGCCTCCAAAACACTTTGGCCCCACAATGGTGGCTCCATGACCTCCCAAGTCCCCCCTCCATGGCAGCTGGCTCCTTCCCTGCTCCAACACACTCACATGCCCCTTCCCCATGGTCTTAGCCATCCCAACCCTGCCAGCTGGGTGTCTAGCTACCAGCATGGGGCAGCCCCGTGGGACATGCCACCTTGTCCATGGGTCAGGGTGACCGGGGTCCTGAGCGGGACAACCTTCCCATCCTTCCTTGTCATGTAGGGTCCCCATATTTGCACATGATGGGTAACATCATCAGCTCGTCATTGTCACCTCTAATTAAATCCAGAGAGTCCTTTGTTTTCTCCCCAGGATGCATTGAAAGATTATTTCCTATTTCTACATTGTCTTTTCCTCACACTGTTCATTTTCAGGTGTGGGTGGCCTCACTAGATCTGTCAGACCACCCTGGTTTCAATGTTTACATCCATTTTTCTTCCCCATGTATCAGGGACTGAAAGAGCATTTCCCTGGTGAGGCCAGGAACTGGGAGTGAACCCTGTGTCCCCTTCCTGGGCACAGCAACACCCCCAGGGAGCCACTGGGGCTTGAAACAGAGGAGTGTAAATCTCACTCGTTTTCTTCTGCAACCCTGGCCAGGCTTTGCATCTGCTCTTGCTGCCTCTGAGTGCACCCACTGCCCACACTGCTGGTCCCTGCTGCTCCAGGGATGTAGATTGTAATTCCAAATGAACTATTATTTTCTAAACAAAGTGGAAAAACCATCAAGAGCAGAAGGTAAAGACTTCCTGCATTATGCAAGTGCAAGGTCGGTGGTGGCTGGAGCAGGTGAGCAGTGGAAAAGCGCTGCAGGCAGAGAGGTCACATGGAGGGATTTTGGGAAATGGTTAAACTGAGGACTTGTCTCTTCCCCAGGCAGTGAATTCCTTCGAGCCTGAGCTTCCAGACCTCCAGCTGCACGTCAGCCCTGGGCTGACCACGAGATGCTGCCTGTGGCACTGGGGCCATGGCACCGGTGGTGTGTGAAGGACACGGCTCCCTTGGCTTCCCAGAGGGAACCCCACGCCCTGACATTGCTCAGTGTGCTGTGCAACCCACAGGGTCACAGCAGAAAGGGTCTCTCTGCCATCTCTAAAGCACGTCCATAACATCCAAGAAAAAATGAGGCTGGAATGGGGTCACTGACGGCGATACTGGCTTCAAGAAACATGGGACAGAGCACAGTGGCCAAATCCCTGCCTCTGGCTACCACTGCCAGCCTGCAGCATCTGCTCACAGCTGCAGCTGTACCCAAAAATAGTCCTTTTTGTCCTGGAGTCCACAGGATGCTCCAATGTATAAAACGAGAAACACACATTTTCAGTAGGTGATGCAAAACCCATTAAACACCGAGGAACCTGCTGGGGGAAGGGAAGGAGAAAGAAAAAGGGAAAAGGGGAGGAGGGAAGGGGATGGAAAAGGGAAGGGAAATGAGAAGAGAAGAGAAGAGAAGAGAAGAGAAGAGAAGAGAAGAGAAGAGAAGAGAAGAGAAGAGAAGAGAAGAGAAATGAAAAAGGAAGAGAAAGGAAAAGATTAGAGAAAGGAGAAGGGAAGGAAAAGGGGAAGGGAAAAGACAAGGGGAAGGGGCTGATCCCGCAGCAGCACTGCCTGATCAGGGAAAGGGCAGTGAACAACCCGCGGGTGCCAAAATGACACATAATAACCCGATAAATAAATAAATAAATAAATAAATAAATAAATAAATAAATAAATAAATAAATAAATAAATAAATAAATAAATAAATAAATACCGGGGAAAAAACAAACAAACAAAAAAACGAACCCAAAACCAAAACCAAAACCAAACAAAAGAAAACAAAATGAATAAAGCAAGCAAAAATAAATAAAATGCAAAGACGTTCCTGCTTCCCCTTTGTTACTTTTAACCTTCCCTTTCACCGCGAGCAGCAGCACAAGCCCGGCAGAGCGAAGTCCATCCCCCGACCCCTCCCCTCCGCCGCAGCCCCCGCCGTGCCGGTGTCGCGGTCTCCCCGGACTACATCTCCCGGCAGGCCCCGCGGGCGCGCTCACGTGACGGGCGGCGCGCGGCGCACGCCGGGAGCGGCGCGGCCCGGAGCGGCGGCAGGTGAGGAGCGCGCGCGCGGGGCCGCGGCGGCGGCACCCCCTGCAGGGCGGGGCGAGCACGGCGGGAGCCGCGGGCGGGCGGCGTGAGGGGACGGCTGGGATGGGATGGACGGGACGGGATGGATGGGATGGAGGGAATGAAAGGGGGCCACCGGGCCGCGCCCCGCGGGGTGGGCGCTCCCCTCCGCGCTAGGAGCGAGGGGTCTCCGCCTCGCTTCGCCCCCCCCGGCAGCAGCACGGCGGCCTTGGCACAGGGGGCTCGTAGCGGGCCCCGCCCGCTCCTCTGCCATTGACCCCAGGGCTGCGGCCAGGCGGAGCCTGTGCTTTGTGGTCACACACCAGCACGGGTCACCCGCTCCACGGCTGCCCCATCCCTGCAATGGCCAAGGCCAGGATGGACGGCGCTTGGAGCAGCCTGGGCTGGTGGAACGAGTTCCCCTTGCCCATGGCAGGGGGTGGAATTAGGTCATCGTTAAGGTCCTTCCAACCCAAAGCCTTGGATTTCTCAGTGAAACGCCCTCAAACCCAAGGGCTGTCCTGCCGGTTTTGCTGTTGTGACAACTCCTGTCAGCGGTGCTTTATTTTGCAGCATTACCCCGTTATTTCCCCTCGTTAGTGACACCAGCAATGAATTACAAATGAAGCCGGTGTTCTCACCGCAGACACTCACTAAAAACTACCAGGTGACAAGAGAAACCACAGCAGGAAATTTCTTTCCAATGTAAGGAAACCAAACTCGCATAATTCACGGTTTTATGGCTTGATCCTCAGCTGAGGCTTTCTGTAATACCCTGCTCTGCGTCAGAGGAACTGCCCCGGGAGGGACCGACACGCAAGAACAACTCGCTGTTAAGGAAACTTCCATGGAGGCACAGCCGAGTGTGAGAGAGAGATAAAAGGAAAAAATAATGTCCCATTACTGAGGGCATGCTGACATTCTGATAAAGGGGGTTATATATGAAAAGAATGTCATACAAATCAGCTCTCTAAAAGCCCAACCTGACTTAAAATCCCGTGCACTGTTGTTCTTTAATGAAAATACTTATTTAAAAGGTAGCTTTTAATGTAACACTCAGTACATGGTGCCTGTGCTGCTTGCTCCCTTGTCCTTCCCTAAGCGAGTCTTTTGACATGTTTCCAAGGAAAGAAAGAATAATGAACCTGGTATCCTGTGTTTCATTTTTAAAAATCATTTTAAATCACAGATTTTTCCTCCCTCAGAGAAAGGTTTCTGTTCTCCATGGCGGTGCCCAGGTTTCTGCTTCCCCAAGGCCAGGGCTGTGATACTCAGCCTGCCACCATAGAGCTGATCCCAGCATGGTGCCTGGAGATTCTGCCACGCCACTGAATCTCTTCCTGAAATGCAGGCTTTAAAGGACTCTGAACTGCAGCTGACAAATTAAAATTAGGGGGCTTTTCTTTCTTTTCTGTATGAGCATAAAGAACTTTTCTTCCTTGCAGTTTTTTTTCTGCACCCGAGCACACAGCAAACTGAAATACACAGAATTTTTCCCAGAGAGGAAGGAGCAGGAGAGAAGTGAGAATGCTGTGTGCATGCAGCCATTTCTCAGAGAGAGCTGTGTGTTCACATCCCTCTGCCACTGCCTCTTCGTTTCAAAGACTAACTACTTCCTTCTCCCCTTCCCTAGAAAAAAAGGTTTTCTTCCCTATTTTTTGGTGGCTAAGCAGTACAATAACAAAGGATTTGAAACCCAGTCTAGTGAATAATAACTTAATGATGTGAGCCCTGTTCTGTTCCTTTTGAATGGATGGCTGCTTTGGCAGCAGAGCTGCTGGGATCTGCTCCCTGCTGGGAGGGATGTGAGGGTGGAGAAACCTGGATTGAAGCTGAACAGCTGAACCAGAGTGGTGTAAAACTGAACCAGGGGATGAGAATGAGGTCAATGCTGCGAGATTGTGAAACGAGGAGAAATTAAATGCAGTTAAGCTGAGTTCAGGAGCTAATAGTGAACATGGGGAGTATGTTTGGAGTTGGGATGTTTGGAGTTGTCTGTTAAATCCATTATTGCTAATACTGCCTGAGCTGTGTTTAATTGGCATGAAGTATGGTGGAGCGTGGCAGAGGTTACTGAGGTGCACTGGCATCAAACCTTCTCTGTGTGTTTTCAGCGTGCACAGTTACCCCCAGAACGAGTGGAAGCTGATTGAGCGTTCCTGCTACTTTCATTCCCGGCAAATGTATGAAACCTTGAAAATGTGTTTTGGCTCTCTAGCAAAGCAGAGTGAACCGAGCACATCTATTTTGTTGGTATCTGATGTCACATCTGAATGCAGGTCTCCAGAGGTGATCTATTAATGTCCTAAAGCATCGCACCATCTGCTTCCTCCTTTGATGCACAACATTTTGAATGTCTAGTTTAATCTCCCTGGGTTTCAGTAAATTATGTAAACTCAGAGGCTTGGCAGCAGGAGATGGGCACCATGAGGAGATGATTCAGTCATCAGTATCTACTGGGCTTCCATATTGGTGCCATTACACTTCTTTCAGTGCTACTTTACAAATTTTGCAAGTGAATAATTCATCGTACTGGGAGCTGCAAGTTAGTTTTGAAATTTGCCCACCCTGAGATTAGCTATGACTAATCCATCCTCCCAACACGGAAAAGCTAGCTGGGTTTCTTTTTCTGCAGGGTTAGGCGATAAGTCAGAAATAAATTGCATGTATACATAACTGCTGGTGGTGACATAAATCACATTTCCCTTTTTTCTTCCTGGACAAAATCAGAGCACCTTGGAATAGATGTGAGCACAAAGCCCTGTGCTGGATAAAGCTGCCTTGGAGCACCATGGCTGCCGCTCCTTATCTCAACTCGGACGCGCTGCGAGAGGTCCTGGAGTGCCCCATCTGCATGGAGTCCTTCACCGAGGAGCACCTGAGGCCCAAACTCCTGCACTGTGGCCACACCATCTGCAAGCAGTGCCTGGAGAAGCTCCTGGCGAACAGCATCAACGGGATCCGGTGCCCCTTCTGCAGCAAGATCACGCGGATCACCAGCTTGGCTCAGCTCACTGACAACCTCACCGTGCTGAAGATCATCGACACGGCCGGCCTGGGGGAAGTGGTGGGACTTCTCATGTGCAAGGGCTGCGGGAGGAGGCTGCCAAGACACTTTTGCAAGAGCTGTAGCTTGGTTTTGTGTGAGCCCTGCAAGGAGGCTTCGCACATGCCCCCAGGACACAGAGTCATTGCTGTCAAAGAGGCTGCTGAGGAGCGTAGGAGGGAATTTGGGATGAGGCTTGCCAGGCTTCGGGAGCTCATGGGTGATCTTCAGAAAAGGAAAGCTGCTCTGGAGGATGTTTCAAGAGACCTGCAATCCAGATACAAAGCGGTTCTGCAGGAGTACAGCAAAGAGGAGCGCAAGATCCAGGAAGAACTGGCCAGGTCACGCAAATTTTTCACCACTTCTTTGTCTGAAGTGGAGAAGATAAATAACCAGGTGATGGAGGAGCAGGCTTACCTGCTGAACTTAGCAGAAGTGCAAATAATGTCTCGCTGTGACTATTTCCTTGCCAAAATAAAGCAGGGCGATATAGCTCTCCTGGATGAGGCAGCGGATGAGGAAGAACCAGAACTGACAAACAGTCTCCCAAGGGAGCTGACTCTCCAAGAGGTGGAACTCCTTAAGGTGAGCCATGTGGGACCACTGCAGATTGGGCAGGTGGTGAAGAAACCCCGGACCGTTAACGTGGAGGAATCTCTCATGGAAAACGCAGCTTCCTCCTTTGTACCATTTAGGGAGCCTGACTTGGTGCAGGAGGAGCCCAGCTGCACCCCCCATTCCTCGCCAGCCAAGCCAAGGATGCCTGAAGCAGCCATGAGCATCCAGCAGTGTTCCTTCATCAAGAAGATGGGCTCCAAGGGCAGCCTGCCAGGGATGTTCAACCTCCCCGTCAGCCTGCACGTCACCAGCCAAGGCGAGGTGCTCGTGGCAGACCGGGGCAACTTCCGAATCCAGGTTTTTACCCGCAAGGGCTTCCTGAAGGAGATCCGCCGGAGCCCCAGTGGCATCGACAGCTTCGTGCTGAGTTTCCTTGGAGCAGACCTGCCCAACCTGACCCCCCTTTCTGTCACCATGAACTGCCACGGGCTGATCGGTGTGACAGACAGCTATGACAACTCTGTCAAGGTGTACACCATGGATGGCCACTGCGTGGCGTGTCACCGGAGCCAGCTGAGCAAGCCCTGGGGCATCGCCGCGCTGCCCTCGGGCCAGTTCGTCGTCACCGACGTGGAAGGGGGGAAGCTGTGGTGCTTCACTGTGGACCGTGGCGTGGGGGTGGTGAAGTACAGCTGCCTGTGCAGTGCTGTGCGCCCCAAATTCGTCACCTGCGACGCCGAAGGGACCATTTACTTCACTCAGGGGCTGGGGCTCAACCTGGAGAACCGACAGTACGAGCACCACTTGGAAGGAGGCTTCTCCATCGGCTCTGTTGGCCCAGACGGGCAGCTGGGACGCCAGATCAGCCATTTCTTCTCTGAGAATGAGGATTTCAGGTGCATTGCTGGGATGTGCGTTGATTCCAGGGGAGATCTGATCGTTGCTGACAGCAGTCGTAAGGAAATCCTGCATTTTCCTAAAGGAGGCGGCTACAACATCTTAATCCGGGAGGGACTCACCTGCCCGGTGGGTATTGCTGTTACTCCCAAAGGGCAGCTGCTGGTGCTGGACTGTTGGGATCATTGCATTAAGATCTACAGTTACCACCTGAGAAGATATTCCACCCCTTAAAGGCTTAGTTGCTAGCAAAGCCTGTCTTGGGAGTGGAGATTCTTGCAGCCTCCTTTCAATCTGATGGGAACCAGTGTCAGGCCTCCAAGAAGACTGTGCCATAACTGAAGGGGATTTGGCATAGAGGTCATCATGTTCTGTGTTTAGAAACAATAGCTTTTGTGGTGGTGGTCTGCTTTTTCTTCTTTTTTATATAAAATCCATACAAATAAGAACAAGTGCGATGGCAAGGATCCATCCTTTGCAGTCTTGGTTCTTGTGACTGGTCACACCATAAACCTCTTCACCTCCTTATGCCACATCTCCTACACTTCCAGCTTCAACCATTGTGTCTTTCTTTGTGCCATAAACACTGACTGACTGCTCTAAATCACCTTCCTTAGAGAACTAGCAGAGGCAATCCTGTGGTACTTGCAAGGAACTGGGTAGCAGTTGTCTGGGCAACTCCTAGAGAGAGCAATTTGTGTTTGCAGCACTGCATAAAACGAAATGGCCTCTTCAACCACGCAGAAATGAAGCTTTGCTTCCACCCTCACGAGGCAGGGTTGTCTCTCCCATTTTTCTGGTGTTCAGGAGATTGCCCCGTCGTGCCATTTGTGAATTGTGTCTGTTCCATGTGAAGTGAGTACTGTGCAATCGTGGGAGACCGAGCTGAGCCAGAAAATTGCCCTCTTTATTCCTGAGTTGTAAGAAGACAGGGGTTTTATTACTAATCAGAGTTCTGCTAGATAGAAAGGGATAAAAAGGGAGGGGGCTGGAGGAAAAAAAAAATAAAGCGGGGGGGAAAACTAGGGTTGCTGTTTACTGTTGTTTTATTATTAAATGTATCCTGGAAACTGTCTTTGGAAGGTTTATCTGGTATCTAGAACTTCTTGGGGAAGAGGGGAAGAGCTGAGGAAATAAGACTGGGTGATTGTAGGAAATGAGATTAAATGCAAGGTGTATTGTATGATCACCTGCACTTCACTACTCTGCATTCCAGACCACTGCATTTAGAAATAGGTTTCCACTCATCTGCACCTCCTCTGTGCAACTTACTCACTTCTGAGATAGGGATGGGCAGGGGGGATTGTTTCACTTCTATTTTTTTAATACTTCGAAGCACATCCATTGGTGCACAGCCTTTTTTTCCCTTGCACAGCAAAACATTACATTCCTCAGATTTTATTTTTTTTAATCCTTTTTTTCCACGACACCAGCAGGAACCAGAGTTGCTGCTCATCAAGGCTTTGGGCCAAATGAAGCACAAAACTGCAGCTGTGTGAACCAAGGCCCCCACAGTGCTGCTCTCCTGGCTGATAAATGTGTACCTCAGTGTGGTGCTGCTCGCCCAGAATAGTTTATTGAAGGAAAGATGCATTTAAATAGGGCACAGTGGTAGCATGTTAATCTGCCACAGATAATAGTTACACTGCAGTGCATTTATTTGTTGCCATCAACAACGTAGTTGCAAATTTGGGGCCACGACAGACAATATAAAAGCTGATTTTATGGTGGCTGCCATGCTCCAGCAAATTGTTTGCTACTTGTCCTACAACGTTTGCAACAGGTGATTTTTTTTTTTTTTTAAGCCCATATACTTTTCTCTGCTGAAACAGCAAAGAGAAACAGGTTGGTGAGCTGCTGCTGCTCCAGCTGGATGTTTGGCAGTTAAAGGGATTGCAGAAAAAGCGCTGGAAGCAGATTTTGGTGGGATATTTGGGGTTTTTTTCTCTCTCTTTGTTGTACTCAGCCAGTGCTGAAGGAATGAGCACGCAAACACAGCTGTGTGATGGAGCTTCCATCAGGGCAGTTTCCAATTTCTCCTGCTATAATGTTATGGAAAAAGGTTGTGGAGAAGGGGGCTAAGGCACAAGGTGCTGAGGCATCCCAGGGGACTCAACTGCCCTTCCCTCCTGAGCTGCTCCCTGTGCTTGCCAAGGCTACCAGCTTTAACATCACTGCTCACATTCTCTGCTTCTCTTCCTTGGGTGGGAGGGGGTAGTTGCCCAAGGCATGTGACAGCAATTTGAGGAGCCTTTCTCATCTCTAATGTGTGGTTTGGGAAGGTGATGATGATTACTAGGCTGTGCTGCAGTTCATGACATTGTAACTGAAAGCTTTCTTCCAATTTTATGACAATGGCAGTTCCTCTCCTTCTGGTTTCTTTTAAACTTGTCTCCTGCTTCCAAGAACTGCTCCACACAGGAGGCTACCGTGGACCTGAATAATTAAAGCAATATTATCTATGATAATATGTACCTCTCTAATTTTCTGTTCCCATTGATATTTTTTTTTCCAATAAACAGCACAACTACTAGCAATAACATTTCCTGGAGTGCTTGAAAAAAAAAATAAAAGGAAAAAATTAAAAGCTGGTCCGGTAAACTGAGCAGTTGGTTACTCCAGCCTGTTCCTGGTTACAGAGTTCAAACAAAGCATCTGTCATCTGTTTCTCACTCAGAGAATTAAGAAAAATAACATCCCCCTGTGAGGACACTGCAGTTGGCACCTGGGGCTCTGTCTTGCCTGCAACTCTTCCTGGGGGTTTCAGGGAGAAAAAGGAAAACCTGCTGTCCCTCGCCCAGGGTCTGCACATCCCCTGACAAAACTCGACTGTGAGATGATTTTACAGAGCTCTTCTTGTTATGGTGCTCCCACACAGTGTCATGATCATCTGCCAAACGAGGTGAAATGGAGTAATTAAGGATTATGTTGAAATAGTTTGGCTCCTGCTCTGTACCTGGAGGAAAAGCTTGTCTGGTCATACGTAAGTGTTTGGTTTTTAAAGATTGTGTAATAAAGGAAAAATTGATCCAATTAAAAGTGCATTGCAAACGGCTCATTTTCTTATTAAAACACTTAATCTTTTCCCCTCTGTGGCAGATTGGATTTTACAGCCAGTGGGGATTAGATTGGGAACGCAGTGGCTACGAGACCCTTTTTATGTGTCAGGTTACTGAGGATAAATCTGATCTTGGCAGGCTCGTGGAACTTTTCCTGACACTTCCCTACCCACCTTATAAACAAATGCTGTGGTTTTGTAGCTTAACTCACACTGCCTCAAGGGCAATATCTTCCTTGTCTCACCTGATGTTTCAAAAGTCTGATTTAAGTTCACTGGCTCCAGGAGCTCAACGGGATGTGGGAGCCTGGCTGAAAACTCCATCCCCTGTGTCCTTGGCTCATCCATGATCTGCCCATGGGGACCTGTGGTGCAGCCAGGTGACTGGACACATCAGGAGCCATGGGCTCACCTAGAACACCTCAGACTTTGGTGCACTTACAGTGTGGGGGTACAAAACACCTGGGTTTCCTCTGTTTGTAGTCCCCCTCCTTGGAGGCACCAGCTCGGGCCGTTCTGATGTTACACCATGACTAAATCGTTTTTAGACCAAAACTCTGCCATGGGAGCTGAGCTGGTGAGGAAACCTGGTGTGCCTGAATGTGGGGGGTGTGGCTGTGAAGGTGCCTGGACCCCAGCCCGGGTGGTGCTGGTGGGGCTGCCAGAGGAGCTCCTGGGTGCTCAGCAGGGACATTTCCTCAGCAGGGACATCCACAGCTCATGCAGGCTCTCCCCTTGTCCAGCCACCTGGATGATGTGGGTGAAGGATTTCATTGCTTGGGCTCATCTCAGCTCTTTAAACAGGTATGGATTTCTGGTTTATCAAACATTATTCAGCCCTTGCAGAATAGCTGCTGTGTGGTGCTGTTAGACCTACCCTGTAGCTTTATCACAAGTTTTGATTTCTTAGGGTAGAACAGCTGAGCCATGGCCATTGTTCCTGGCAAAACCAGGAGCCAGAGAATGAAGGGATGAGGAGGAGAGACTGTTCCTCATCAAAGGGGATAGAGCTACAAAAGTAAAAATAAAGCCAGATGCTTTGAGTTGTTCCTATTGTATACCTTAAGTGATTTTTCTGGGTCATTACTCAGTGTGAGGATTTGAAGTTATTTCATTTTGCACAACTAATTACTCAACTTGCCTGGCAATTCTGGATTACAATGAGCAGTGCATAAGGTCATTTAGCAGACTTACTCACAGCACATGTTTTAGTCTAAACTAAATTTCATGGCAACCAGCTAGATTGTTTTTACCTCCTCCGAACAAAATGTTGAAATCGGAGGGTTTGAAATAATGACATAAAGCAAGCAATTAAGAGGGTTAAAAGAGTGTTTAAAAGGTAATAGAGTGGTTGTACATAGGGACAGATCTCAAGAACAAGGAAATTCTCCGTGTTCTACTTCTGACCAAGCACATAGAAGGGAAACCCATTATGTCCTTTAACAGCTGAAAAAGTAGCTTTACAGCTTTCTTAATGCACCTGATTGCATCTAGGAAAGGAAAACTAAAGGTTCCTGCAGACTAGTTCAATCTTAATTGTGTTAATGGCAGTATCAGACCTGAAGGGAGACAAATAGAGCCTTGAAAGGACAGGAGGGAGCCACAGGCCTCACTCAGAGGAACAGGGACTGCTGTTTTAGCAGAGCTCCAGGCTCTAACCTTAATTTTATGAAGGATATTTACGAAGATCTCCTGTCAAAACTGCTGAGTTCACAAGAAGGCATGAAAGCTGTCACTTCTTCCAGGTAAATGCAGTTCATGGAGTGTGGTCTGAGAGAAGTTCTGGGGAGGGCAGGGAGCAGAAAGGCTTAGGGAATGTGACAGGACCTACGAGAACACAGCTCCTCCGTGGACTATTCCCATAAATGATCGATTATTGAGAGGGAACATGAACATCCTTCCCATCTGCAGCAGCCACAGGCTGAGCTTGCTGAGCGCTCAATGTGGCCAGGGAACCTCAGCCAAGGAAACTCTATCTAGAGATCATAGGAAATTCAAGAAAAAACAAACATTTCCCTCACTGCAGACCTAAAGTAACCTCCCAGCTGGGCAGTGAAACCCTCTGGATCTCCTCCACTCAGGCACACACATCCTGAACCCATCAGCATCCCTTCCTGCTTCCCAGCTGGGCTTCTCCAGTGGGAATAAGCAAACTGGAACAGCTCTTGCAGAAATCTCACCAGGACTGTCAGATTTTGCACCCAGAGCAGCTTTTCCCCTTCCCGAAGCAATCTCTCCTCCTCACCAGCCAGAACGAGGAACCACAGAGCAACCAGCTCTCTGATGAACGTTTATCACTGAATGAAGTGGCTCCCAGCAGGGGGATTTGCTGGATGGAGGGATCACTCTCTTCCCTGATGTACAATTTCTGAGTCTCTGAGGTGGGGTGACTCCCAGCCTCCACCTCCAGGTTTATTATTATGACACTGTGTGGTGAGGAATAGCCCAGTCTGGGTCAGCTGTCCTGGCTGTGTCACCTCCCAACACCTCATCCACCCCAACCTAGTGATTGTGGGGACAGAACAGAGAAAAAGAGGAAGTGTGGATGCCATGGAGGCACTGCTCAGCAGCAGCCAGCACTCTGGGGTGTTATCCACACTGCTTTCTCCAGAAATCCACAGCACCACTGTGACAAACCTGGTTCCCTGCATCCTACCAGGCACAGCACATTCTCACACACAGCAGGAGCTGGCTGGGGACATCACGTTTGTCCAAAATGAAGGTCCTCACACACCTTCTACCAACTTAACGTTGGTATCAGCGTTAAATGCTGGCTCCACCAGGGAAGAAAACCGATGTGGGCTCCTGTGGCACAGATCAATGGCTGGGTCGATCTCAAGGTCCCTGCTTGGAGGCCACTCAATGTGTTAAAGCATTGCTTGGCTGCACAGAGCCAGAGCAAGCAGCCCAAAAAATGGGCTTTTAATCACTCTGCATGAAGTAAAATTGGAGTTTGCTTTGGTGTGCTCACAGACTGAGGCTGTTCCTGCGAGGGAACCTGGGGGATGCTCCCATGCCTGCCCTGAAGGAGCACAGTGCTCGTGCCACCGTGCCTGTCTGGCTCTCTCTTGCAGGATTCACTCCTTAGGAACGAGGACAGGCTTCTCTGTCACCTCATTTCCCTCCGTACTCCTCACCCACCTGCAGGAGGAAGGGAACACTTGTCCCTGCTCCAGGCAGAGCAGGCTGCCCGCTGTGTGCTGTCCCTGGCTGCAGGCAGATCCCTTTCCCTGCCCTTGGCAGAAGGGAGAGCTCTGCAGATCCTGACCCACGTCACAGCTCTGTGCTGGCATTGGGGCAGCTCCAGCCCCGGCACGGAGCCAGCGCCTGCCCTGGCAGCAGCGGCGTGAGCTTCTCTTCAAAACCATGTTTTCAATTAGGGCTCCACGCGCAGATTGTGCCTTTATTGTTGGAGGCCTCCTCCTGAGGCCTGGCGATTGATTTATGAAGTTGATTAAAATATTAAAATAATTTTGTGCGGTGCTGCGAACGTCCCGTAATGTGCATTTTTCTCAGAGTTGGTGCTGTTCCAATTAGCTTGAGACTCTTCTCTCTCCCTCCTCTTGTGACCTGTTTTGTCCACTAACAAATTACAATTATTCTGGCCCTACTTTTATATTTATTAGAGCTGATGCATATGTGTGCTCACTGAGCAGTTCAGAACGGGCTGGTGAGCAGTGGGGAGCCCGGCAGGCCAGAGCTGTTCTGAGTGGAGAAGGCATCCAGAACTGTCTATCTGGAGCTATTTATTCTGATCTGCCTTATGTCACTGGCAAAATGAGGGCAAATCAGGAGAGAAGTTGGGAATAAAATCCATCTACCATGAACAGCAAGCTCTTTCTCTTGGCTAACTGAGATTTCTCTGGGACAGAGCCCTGGCTTTCCCAGGACATTTTCTCTGCCCACAAGCTGATCTCCCCAAGAGCCCTGAACATCCTTAATTGTCCTTCCAAGAGCATTTTCTGGCCATCAAAGAGCTGAACACAACACTGGGCACCTCTGCATTGCCCACAGCCCCAGTGTTCAAGCTCACCGGCCCCACCAGCTACCAAAGGCACAGATGGAGCCACACACAAAACACAAGGTTGGAGCCAGCACTTAAATGCTGCAGAATCAGGAGTGAAAAGTTTATGTCCAGGCATTGCATGCAACGCCTCAGGGGATCCCTGGAGTGCCATGAGTGCTTTGGTGCTTCACAGGCAGTGGGAAAGGATGCTCTGGATGCCCCACAAATGCCAGGGCAGCCAGGCATAGCTCCGGGAGTGGAGGCAAGACCCGGGTGGGGAGCGAGGGATCCACCTCGCTGCATACCATGGACTAAAAAGGAAATGATTCTGTCACTGAGGTACTGCTTCAGTAACAAAGCCCCTGTGCCACTGCAGGGCCTTGTGGCTGAGCCCTGAGCCACCACTGCCCCCTGACATGGGGAGGTGGGAGTGAAGGAATGGGAGATATTTCACCACCAGATCAAGTGCATGAAGATGTCCCCCAAACTGGCCCCAGCATTGTGGAACAGCAGCAGTGCTGGTGCCAGGCTTGGACTGCAGCAGCTGCTTCTCCTTCCCACCTCTTATTCTCCTGAGAAACCCTTGTCTGGGTTTGGTTTGGTCCCAGGTGATGGCACTGGGACCATGGGGCACTCGGGGTCCGCTCCCCACCAACACATTTGCCCCTGGGTTGCAGGGAATGTTCCCGAGTGATTAATAACATAATGAGTACATAAACAACCCACCTCCACGTGCCTTCGCCTGCTAAACAGGGGCATTGCAATGGCAAACTTCATTTATCACTATTTAAAACCCAAACAAACGAGCGCAGGGTGTTATAAATACGCTTACAAGACGAACTACACTGGGAAAATGGAGAAGAAAATGAGCCAAGAGCCAGGGAGGCGGCGTGTGGGAGAACATCTCTGTCTCTGCTGGGTTCCAGGGAGCGAGGCTGCTCTTGGTAGTGCCACCAGAGGAGGATGCAAGTGCCCTGATGGCCTCTGTCACCATCAGCCCTAAGGTGGGCTCTGTAATACACCACAGATGTTTTTTGAATAGAAAAATATCAGAGCCAGGGAATATCCCCAACTCCCTGGAGGAGAGAGATGAATTGGCAAATGGAAGGCTACAGCGATAAGGGAGTTTTTATAAACATAACCTAATTGTATTACTTCAAAGTCCTGAAGTTTATTGCCCTGTTTAATGATGTGTCTCGTTATTTATGGTGTAGCACAATGAGTCTGCTATTGATTTAATGCACTTCCTTAAAGACTGTCATTGTCACAAGCAATAAAACAAAGCCATTCTGAGACAGCTCATTTATGTCACATCTCCATCAGCTGACCGTGGGCACACGAGGGCCACCGTGGGGAAGGGGGTCACCCTGGGCAAGGATGGAGCCAGAGTGTGGAAGCTGAAGGGCAGGAGCAGGCAGGGTGGCTCAGGGATGCTGCCAATGACATGTGCCACTTGACACTGGGCACTCAGTTTGGGACAAGCCTCCTGCCTGAGGCCGCCAGCCAGCATGGTGATGGTGTATGCATGGGAAAGGGGATGATGGATGGAAACCAGCACATGACACCTGATGTTTGTTCCCCTGCCCATTCCCTTTGCCCTCCTCACCTTTCTGGTACTGGAGCCAGAGCTGCTGCTGGACCTTCTTGCTGGGGAAGTGGATGGTGCAGCTGAACTCGGAGCCGTACAGCGCCTCCGCGATGTAGTGGGAGCCGAACTGCTGGATGAAGGAGAGCAGCTCCTCCCGGCTGCTGTCCTTGTTCAGGATCTTCAGGATGTTTGCAAAGCCTGTGGGAGGGAGGCAGGGGGTGGGCAGGTCAGCCCAAGGCAGCCACAACCCAAGGGAAGGAGCCCCAGAGGTTCCCTGCTCAGGTCATATAAGGCCTCACATGTGTGCAGTTCCTCCTCTTTTGCCTCCACCTGATCCTTTAGAATCCACAACCTGTTATTACCCTGAGCTGTGGCTCTGACTTCCTTCTATGATTCCTCTCCCTAAGAGATTTCTCAGATAATTTTACAGGGATGTGCGTGGGAACATGTGTGCACACACACACACACACACTCTGCCCTTGCCAGCTTGTCTGCTCTTCAGGCTGCTGGCACATCATTAACACTCTCCCCAGAGGATGTGCCTGGCCTTTGCTTGGCTGTATCCATAACCAGAGATGTTCCATCCCCAGTGCAAACGCCCAGCACAACTGGTAACTATTTTTAGGAAAGTTGGAAACAGCCCAGAGGGATATACAAGGCTGGGCTGGTGGCAGCTCCGTGAGTGTGCAAAGGTCAAGGCATCACTTGAGCAACATCCATACAGACAGCAGGGACCTCTGGCATGGGACAAGGACATGGACCTTTGCTGCTCCATGGAGATGAAATATCCTGGAGACACTTGTGACTTCACAGCACTTCAGCATCACTTAGAGCTGGCTGAAAGCACCGTTTTGGTTCAGTGGTGGAACGGAAAACATACTGCAAGAAAATACGTCATAACTGTCACCAAAATGAGATTATCTGGCTGGTTGGTTGGTTGGTTTATTGAAAGAGAAGGCTGTTTTAATAAAAAAGCCAGAATAATTCATTTTGAGCTGAACCCACGTATTTTTTTTTCAGCTCTGAGCAGGTTATTTCATTTTGGGGCTGTGCAGCCTGCTTGCACTAAATCTTTTTTTTTCTTTCTCTCTCCATTTAAAAACTCGTTGATTTTTTAAATAAAAAATGCTATTTTGAAATGAAAAGGCAAAACATTTCAGGTTGCAACAAAATGTTTCAACATTTCTGAAACAAAATGCGTAGCTATAAAAACGTGGCAGTGAAATGTTTTGACATTTGCAGGATCCTCCCACCCACCCCTTCTTCATCTGTGACTCCCTGCTTTATATGACCTGCTTTTCCAACTGCTTTGGTTCCTTTTGAAACCACCGTTTTTAAGGCACTGACTGGTTTTTGTTCATATCCGTGTACACAGCCACTCCAAAACACATCCTTCCTGCTAGATGCTTACTGGCTTCCTCCTGGCTTTGACCTCACCTCTTGCTGCACAAATCCCTGCCTCAGTTTCCCCTCTGTAAAAAAGGAGGTGAATCTCCCTGCCTGCTTCTGCAGCAGTGCTGGGAATAGAGCATGGAGGTGCGAAATGTCAGTGGGATGCTTGGGGCAGAAAAACACCTCCCACCCCTGCAGACACATGTCTCCCTGCCCCTGGAATCCCTCACCTGCTGAGAGTGTGATGGAGCTGAGCTTCACCCTGTAGAGGTTGCTCCTGACCCGCCAGTGCTGCACCATGGGGTACCCCATGGCCTCGTCATACTTGATGTCCCCTGCAAAGAAAAAGCAGGTGGGTGACACTGCTGACCACGCTCTGGGGGATGCTTAATGCTCCCACCTTGCTACGTGCTGCAGGGGTGAGAAATGGGGTGGTGCAAGGGCTGGAAACCTCAGTGGTGATGCCATGGGGGTCCTCAGACTGCTGGCAGGACCAGCATTGGGGTGGCTGTGACTGCCAGGAGCTCACAGGGATGGAGATGATGCTGGGATGGACTCCCACATCTCTCAGATAATTTGTGCACCAGGCACATGGGAAGGCTGGCACAAAGGGGGTGATGATGCCTCTCAGGAATCACACTGAGCTCTAGGGTCAGAGAAGAAGTTGTTTCTCCTGGGTGACAAGCAATGGGAAAAAATGAAAAAGCCTCAGGTTGCCCCAGGTGGTGTTTATACCAGATATTTGAAAAATTTCTTTACCAAAAGTGGTGGCAAATCCTGGCTCACACTGCTCAGGTCAGTGATGAAGTTATACCATCCTTGGAGGGATTCAAAAGGCATGTGGATGTTGCACCTGGGGACATGGTTTAGTGGTGGCCTGAGCCTGGGGGCAGCTCGTACCTGTGAGCAGCTGGAGATCAGGAAGGGGCTCCGAGAGGACACCACGGCACTGCTCCTCCACAGGCAGTGGGATCACCAGGAGGCCATCAGCCAGCTGGGGGAAATCTTTGATGAAGTTATTCTCCCTGCAGAGAGAAAAAGACAACTGCAAAGCAACGATGCAGGGCACGGCCGGGCAGCGGGGCTGGGCTGCCCTGGTGGCACGGGGACAGGCGGCTCAGGAGGTCAGGGGACATCTCCTGGAGCAGGAGCCCTGCCAGGGATGGGGTTTGCAGCCTCCCCACCAGCCAGCCCTGCCTGTGCAGCCCTCTGAGATGGTGCCTAACGAGCTCCCCAAGGACTGCAGCTCCATTAGTGCTCCAGAAATACTGAACTGCTCTCAGCCTGGGGACCCGGCCACTGGGTTTGGCCCAGATTTACAAAGTGGGCCCCTGGAGAGGGGGCAAAGAAAGAGGAATGGCTGCTACACCTTAAAAGTGTCCCTTTCCACACCTGCAGCATCTTCATGGGGACAGTGACCAAGCTCTGCTGGGGCTCCCCAGGCAGCATCATCACCCCCAGTTTTCACCACCACCAGTGACTCACTCTCCAAAAGGCAGAAAAAATACATTTTACAGACAGACCAAAAAAACCCCACTCTCGTGTACAGCTCAGAGTGCAATTTTACCACATATGCAGGATCTTTTCTAACCTTGGCAGGTATAACATTGTATAATAGGCCCCTAATGAATTGTTTCTAGAACAACGGTACCAGGGAAATTATTTGAAATGGTGAACAGACAGGTCTCTGGGAGACAAGCCTCCCCCAGTAAGCGAAATGCCTCGCGCCTGCGCTGAGGAAACAGGAGGGGGGATTTTAAATATTGATCTTAGAGCCAAAATATAGGCCAGGAGGCTTTGCATCCTCTGGGTGTGGAGACAAAAGGGCAGCAGAGCAGAAGAAAGGGAGGTTCCTGCAAAATCAGGTCAGCCCCAGGAGCTTGGGGGAGGTTCAGACTGGCACCACCTGCCCCAGCTGCATTTTTGTAATACATTTTCTTTTAAACAGCTGCAGATTTTACTCACCTTCCCTGGTTTTACCCCCTGTAGCCTGTCCCTGGGTGGATGATCCATCATCCTGTGGTCATCTCACAACTGGGGACACCCTGGCCACCTCCATGGGTCCCAGCACAGCGAGATGCTGACTTCAGGAAACACTTCCCTGGGATCCTCCCATTGCTCTGGGGCCAAGATGTGGCCACTGCAACCTGCACCAGAGGTGAGCAGGAAGCCATAACCCTGTGCAACCAGCCTGGGGATGTTCCCAGAGCCAAGGCAGGAGAGGAGCACAGGGAGGAGCATCTGAAGGTAGGGACACATGAGTGGGGCAGAGTTCAAGGCCAGACTGGATGGGTCTCTAAGCAATATGCTCCAGTGGAAGGTGTCTCTGCCCATGGCAGGAAGGTTGAAACAAGATGAACTTTAAGGTCCCTTCCAATCCAAACCATTCCATGATTCCCTGGCTGCACAGGCAGCCTGCCTCATGCTACACCCCCATTTCAGAGCCACCAGCACCTGACTGCATCTCAGGAGCCTCATTTTCTGCACTGCCTCAGTGCAAAAAAGAAAAAATGCTTTATTTTTCTGAGGGGAAAAGCCTCTCACTCACAGCATGCTCACAAATCTCCAATTGATCCCGCTGGGCACGGGATCCCCACGGTGGATTGTTCTGCTGCTCTGAGCCCTTTGCTGTCACAGCAGTTCCAAATGGTGAACTGCAATTACTGCCAGAGCTGGGAACCATGTGGGTGGTGGGAAACAGGGCTGCAAAATAAAGCAAATCAGTAGGGAAAAGGGGAAAAAGCATGTTGGTGTCTCTGCTGCTCTGCCTTAGCAGAAAAGGGAAAACATTAGTACTGTCAAATCCCAAAGCCATGGAGAAGTGTGATGCTGCACTGGGAAAGGGGGATGCAGCTGCACTGAGCCTGCCTGCCATTCTGGAGTGTGGGGACTGTGCCTTTCCTGAAAGGCCAGCTCCCCATCCTGCACCAGCATCAGCACAGGGGCCAGGAGGGTCCCTGACTGCCCAGCCCCCTGTCCCACCTCTGAGAAGACCAGGAGGGGATTCTCAGGAGCAGGCTGGTGGAACCTTCCCAAGTGCTGTCCCACATGAAGGGATGGACTGGTATGCCCCAAGGGACACAAAAAGATGGCATGACAGATTCCAGGAGCTCATGCTCATCCAGCACCCTGCACCCTGACACGGGGCAGAGGAGACAGAAAGAGGCAGCATCTCCTCCTGCCCCCACCTGAGCCATCTCAGCACCACCACCCATGCCATGAGTCTGCAGGACAGCTGTTGGGCACATCCCAGCTCATCCATGAGCAGGACAGCCCTGGGGGCTGGTGGTCCACACCTGAGCAGCTCAGGAGTGAGAAACTGAGGCATGAGGGGACCTGCACACAGCAGCTGCTGCCTCTATGAGCAGGTATTTACTAAACAGCCACGTCCTTCAGGACTCATTCTTACCCATTTGTTCAACTGTTCCACACTGGAAAGGCCAAGGAAAAAAACAAGGGCAAGTGGGAGCCAAGGAGTGGCCACATGCCCACAATGTGCTTCTACCATGGGAGGGAGCAGCAGTGCAAGGCAGGACTTCAGGAGCACTTCCATGATGCATTCTTGCTGCCAAACCCTTCCTGCATCTCTTCCAGCTCTCCCCACCCCCAGGCCCCTGCTCCCTGCCATCCCAAGGCAGGGATGAGCCAAAGCCATGCAGGGGGAGCACCCTCTGGGCAGAGGGTCTGGGCACAGCACAGCCTGCAGGGGCAGGATGGTGATGGGGACATGGGGACACGCCAGGCAGGGCACACTGCTGCTGGGCTGTGCCCAGGGCACAGCATTCCATGGATTGGCAGCCGGCAGAGGGCTGCAGCTCCTCTTCCACAGGCCCTCCTTAAGAACCCTGTGGCTTGCACACTGCTCACTGTGGAGGCACAGAAAAGAGTTCCTGCCAGAGTTTTTTTTTGCTCTCTGGAAGCTGTGATCAAAGACATCGGGCTCTGTGCAAGGGGCAGGGACACGGATGAGGGGAGGGATGTGACAGAATCCCTGTGCTCCTGTGGCCACACGGGCCTCCAACTGAGGCTCCTCTGCAGGGCTAGGTCTGGGGTTCACAGGGTTATTCCAGTGGGATCAGCCGGGATGCAGGCAAACCTGCCAGCCCCACAACATCCTGCTGTGTCTCTTGTTGTGCCCCTGGCATCTCCCCAGTGGAACAGCTGCCCAGGACTCACTGGAGCAGTGAGCACACAGCTCTCTCCAGCACGATGCACACAGAATGCACTCCCTGGCACAGCGCTCTCCTGCTGGGGATCTGAGCATCTCCCAAGGCATTTTGCAGATACTGAGTCATTACAGGAGGAAATGCAGTTTCTCTCAGCTGCATCCAAGCAGAGCACGTGCCTGCCTTGGAGGGAACTGATTCCATCTAAATGAGCCTGATGCTGGGAAAGGTCAAATGGCCAAAGGCTTTAGCAACCTCTGATACTGGCAGGGTGGGCTGAGGAAGAAGGCAGCTGCCTAGATTAAACTGAGTTCAAAATCCTGGTTTTGATGGACACTTGTGTATCCTCAGCCGAGTCCTACAATTTACCCATTGCGTGGGGTGACACAGACAACTGACATCAGCTCCCACATCTCGGGGTGCTGGTGGGGTGGCAGCAATTAGCAGCTGCTCAGATACCAGGAGCAGGGCTCAGGCAGCAAGAGCCTGCTGTGCCACTGTTCTCCTGTCCTCCTGAAACCAGAGACACAAACCAGCCCTGTTTTTGGGGACTGTGACCTTTAATAGCACAGCCAAGGTCATGAAGCAGAGCTGTGGTGCAGTGCTGGGCTGCATCACTGTGCTCTGCAGTGCTGGCAGCAGCTCACACAGCCCATGGGAAGCCTCCAGAAAGAACCAATAACCCAGGGAAAAATGGAGTTTGGGGGGAGCAGGAGAGCCCAGTTCAGGCCCTGGGGAGGAGCTGGAGTGCTGTGGTCTTCCAGGATTGGGCCATGGCTGCCAGATTCTGCTCCATGGCACAATTCTGCTGGCCCTGGGACACCATGTCTCCTTGCTGAGATGCTCAAAGCCAGAGCCAAGCTGGCAATGGGATTTTGGCCTGCAGCAGGGAAAGATCAGCTGGTGGCTGACATGCATTTCATTTTTCTGTTAGCACCACCACTGGGTGAAGGAGCAGCTTCTCCTCCTCAGCTCAGTCAGCCGTGGCTTCCTCCCTTGGCACTTTTCTCCCACAGGACATGGCCTTGAGGATGGACTCTACAAACCAGCCCTTCCTTGCAGCTGTAAAACTCCCACTGCACATTCCAAGCATCATGACATGGTGCATCATGACATTCCAAGCACATCTGAGATGGAGTTTCCTGCCTCCACCCAACACTGACAGCGGATGCACACCCTGCACCACAGCACCTGGGCAAGTATATTCATGGTGGGGTAAATATATAAATATTATATAGAAAATGACCCCACAAGTTATTAGTTTATGCCCTGAAGCGTGAGATTTAATTACCCTTATCTGAGCCAGCACAGCTACAAATGTTAATCACATTATCATCCAGCAAGCTTATGTTCAGCAAAGTGACGACTCCAGGGCCGCCCTTTCTGCTATGCAAGCCTGAGAGAATGACAAAGAATTAGTTATTAATCTTACTTCTTTCTGTCCCACAATGGCTTGGGGAGAACACAGTGGATTGGAGGTTATTTAGTGCCAGCTTTTCACCCAAATTTCCCTTGTAGAAGTTGCCTGCTGGGGTGGCTGCAAGATCAGCAGAGCCCAGCCTGACACGGGGACATTGAGAAATAGCTTCCTTTTAGCTTGTCATCACAAAAAAAAAAAAAAAAAAAATTGATCTGGAGTCACTGGGAAGCAGAAAAGAAGGTGTCCTGTTGCCACAGGCACTTAGGAGAAGGTAAGCACACTGTAAATCTCCCCCAGCATGTCTCCATGACCTCAGGCACTGGTGAATTATAATGGTTTAATGCAAACCCTGTGAAGCAGCAGTTACTTACTCCAAATTTACTGAGCGTTTCAGTGAGGCCCTGCTCCTGTAGAACAAGGCAGGATAAAAGAGGAGAGA